ATTTAAAGTCAAATTTAATACCGAGATTTTTAAATGGATTATACCTTTCAAGAGCCTTTCAAGAGTCATTATTGATTGAGTAATCGAATAAATAGGGACAATTTTGTCAAGATAAAGAGATATTTCCATTTAGAAACATTAATTGTAAAGAATCATCTAGACATCAACGGTTGAGGATATCCAAATCTGTAAGCATTTTCAGATTTTACTAGTCAGTTTTAGGATGTCATCAAAGAAAATATGTAAACATTCTACAATATAATAAATATAAATAATGGTATTGGTCCTAAATTTGATCCTTGTGGTACACCTCAAGTATTTACATATACTTGTGATCCAAACTCAACATACCCTACAAATTGAGTAGTAGAGGGGGCGACAGTCCTACATGCCCAATTTTGTTATCATTAAAAAGTGATCAATTTAATCGACGGCTATTTTAAAATCTGTGTAAATAACATCCAATTGGCTGAGTCTAGAACTTCTACAGCAAATTGAGTAAAAAAAGCTAAATTGGTAACTGTACATTCTTTGTCATGAAATCGTTATACCATTTTTGACAGAAGTGATACAAAATTATTATATCAAAAAGCTAAGGTATCAAAATTGCAAAGAACAAGCTAATGATGGCTTAAGGACAGAAGGGCGTTGAAAACTTATTTTTAAATAAAATTTCCATTTTTTTATCGCTAATGATAGCTACGTGAGGACAGTCACAACTTGTTTTGGTTCTTTTTTATATAATTATTGTTTTACTGCTCTAGTTGTAATGTAGGATAAACATATTTTTCAACTATTATAGTTATAAATAAGCTTGACATGAATTTGACTCACTCTTTTGTTGCGATATATCAATAAAGGCGTTTACCTGTACTTAGGTATCTTTGAAAAAAAAAAAAAAACGTTGTCAAATACAATAATACATTCAATAATATTCCAAGTTCGTACTAATGTTTTTATATTAGTCAATACAAGGTAACGTCATTGTTTTTTAATGGAAATTTTTAGAAATAATTCACTGAAAATCTGTTTTATGCACATATAAATAGCATGACATATAATTGATTTTCTGTAAATATTCAATGATGTAGACACTCACCTATTTAGTGACAGTCGTCAATAATCAATAACGTTGCTTTGATAAAATAAAATTCATATTCAGTGGTAAAATATATTTTACCGTCTGGCTAAAAATAAGTCCGAGCTTTTTTTTAACAGATTGACAACTAATTAGTTTTTTTCAGCTTAATAATATCAGCAAAAATTCCGAATCAATTTAAATACATACGATGCGGCTATGAATAAATAAAGTCTGACTTATCTGTCAAAATAAAAGATGTATTACACATAATTGAATCTATACTAAAGCTTTTATAATGCCGATCAGATGTATTAAAATTTTTATTTTTACTACAAATAAGCATTGAAGGATGAGGTATAAATGTGTATTTCTTGAACCTGTACTACGTTCTGCAAATTAAATTACTGCTCTACTTTCTTGTCTATATTATAGTTGAGTAACTTTTGATTTTAGCTCCGTTTAGAAGTAAAATGTGACATTTGGTTTGAATTCAAATTTTATCTGTAATTTAATACATAGTATAAATTGGTTATATTGGTTGATAGTAATTAAAGTTTATATTTATTATTATTAAATATTTTTGTATTATAAGCTTCTTCTGTTTCTACTGAAAGCATCTCGGTGTTAAGAAAACCTTTCAAAGAGTTCGTTAAAGGTTTTATTGGAACAACAGTACTGATGATGTAAAGGACTGATATAAGGAATGTACTATATGTGCTATGAGTAATGCAGTAGAAAAGGCGACGTTATTGACATTACCTTCGATTCTACCTTAGTTTCAAATCACATTGGCAAGTGGTTTGAGTCTAGAGAACCTTTGTTCATCATCATATATATTCTCATGGAAATCAACCCACATAGTAAACCGATTGGTTTGGATAAGAGGTAGAGCTCACCCCTTATAAACAACTCTTAATAATAAAAATGATATAGATAAAGTTGCAGAATAACAACGGAACGCAATTATAACATTAACGCCGGACTCACTTAACTCGTAAACTTTTTAATAAAGTGAAAAAGACAAATGAGTGGGGGGAGTACACCAAAACAGTTACAGATTATAACAATACTCTTAAAAAATCTAAGAGGGATTCATGAAGGAATTTGAAAACACAATTGAAGGATATAACCTACATCGCATTATAGCAAAATATCCTATAAACCCTGTAGGAAATCTAAAAACCCAAACCCAAACCTAAATCTGGAACGGAAATATTAGAACTACTTCTCAAAACTTATTTCTCTGATTTGACAACATACCCTAATGCAGTAAACCAAACCTACACGAATTGTAACTTTCAAAGAAGAGTGGAACACTGCAAAACAGGTAGTTACAACATGAAGTAAAATGAGCAATAAGCACTTTCAGCCAATACAAATCATCGGGACCAGATGTGGTATTGCCCGTGCTTCTGCAACAAGAATAGAAACACTAGTCACACATAATTTTAGGCTCTACAAATACCTGGAAATAAAGTAGTTTTGTTTTTATACCTAATTCAAGGCAGCGTCCAACATATGCCGTGGCAAAGGCCAATAATTCTGACTTTCTTTTTTATTAAAGAATTGAAGAGACTATTTTATGAGTGAATCTACTTCTACATCATCTTTTACTCAAGAAATAATCCTAAGAACATTTCTTGACATAGAAGAAGCTTTTAATAACACAGCTTTAAATCAATGGTCAAGATACCGAAACCAAATACTGGTGTTCAAACATTCGCTTAGTGTCCTGGTTACAGCAAATACCGTTTCTTGTTATTTCCCTGCAATTGCAGAATGTAAAAGAAGGTCCAGTTGCAGATACAACCAATCAGTTTCAGTTTCGAAAAAGTTCCAAGAAAAATTATCTGTTAAGGAAGGAACGTGTCGATTCGTAGAGGAAGAGGATCGAGAGTGTCTAGAGTCTTCGAGACAGATCCGGTGTTGACTGAAGCGTAAAATTTGGGTATATAAAAAGAGATATCGCTTTTATCTCATTAATATTGTTATTATAAATTAGTATATACATAAATATCCATATGAATTAGTGAATAAGTAAATGTGATTTATAAATTAGGAGTCTTAAGAACAAATTATTAAGTTATAAAGTATATTTAGTTTAAATAAATTTGAGGTAAACAGATTTTGTTCCCTTGAGGTTTCTTTAAAAGAATATGCAGTTTAAGCTCCTAGAACATTTATTTTGAAAACAAACAGACTTTTAGTACCGAACGAACAAAACAAAATGATTTATATTTAACAAATAAAATTCAAAACATAATGACATACAAGAAAAGTCAAAGTCAAAAGTAATAATTGACATCTTTTTTATTTTAACCAACCACGCCGTTGTCACTTCCTTGTGGGCCACTTAGTCCACAGTTGCGAGCGCAGGAAATGTAGACGCTGGACATAGGCAACACACAATACGTTTGTTTTACAAATTAAAATAATAAACTTTAATTGAAAGTTCAAGGACCTAATTCTAAGTTTCGGTATGAAATTCACTAAAATTATTCTGTTAAAGGCCTTTATTTTATTTTTATTTTTAGAGCAATGGATATAGTAAAAATTGTGTTTTTAAATCCTTTTAATTTTATTACTTCTTAAATCGTTTTAACAAAAAAAACTACTTAAAAACGAATCTGTCATCCGTGTTTGAAGCACTAAAAGTTCGTTCCGTAACTCCTAAGGCGATAACAACTTAGAATCCGTCGTTTTCAATAAAGTCACTTAGCAAGTTTTACATGGTGCTAACGGCAAATACAAAGTGGCTCTAACTTTTAATATTACTTCCTGTCAATAAAGTTAACTAAGAAGTTGATATCTTTTTAATATCGGTTGAGTGAAGTTATGTGATTAAACGTATAAGGGGTCAGTTAAGCTAATGTTTTTTTTTTAATACCCAAAAATTATACAAGTAGCGCACGTTTAGATTGCATATAAGTGTAAGTGGTTAATGAGCAAATAAACAAAAAATTTCAAAATTATTTGCAATAGAGTAACACTAAATGCTAAGAATATTGTAAATACAATATCGTCGCCTTAGTAAGAAAAATGCGTAACTCCATTTTGGTAAAATTTAGAACAGGTGCAAATAATTGTTTTTTGACCATTACAGCAGCGATAAAATACTGTAATTTTACATGAATAAAGGAGAAGACAAATGTGTTTTCCTTACTCTTGTAAAATTTACAGTATTTTATCACTTTTGTAATAGTCAAAATACAATTATTTGCATGTGATATAAATTTTACTAAAATGGAGTTACGCATTTTTCTTACAATATTTTTACTGTTATAATATTCTAGCCAACAAATTTTTCTATTTATAACTATTGTGTCCTACTTTTTACTCTCAATAAATAAATCCTTTAAAATATTGCATATTTTATAACCTGGCATTAAGTTCGTTGTAAATTCAGATAGCTAAATCCAATTTTTTACTTCATTAATTAAAATTAAAAAGTATAGAGTTTGAAACTGACGTATTGAACTTTGTAGACTCGGAAATTCATTTATATTAAACCCATTTATATTTTACGGAAAATGTTAATATTCCATTAGGTAGACGTTACTGTTTCACACAAACTTGGTCGATACAGACCAGGCAATTATTTATTTGTGAAGTAAATTAGGAGGAAGTGGTGGTACGAATAATTTATATTGATGTTTCGATGAAAGGGCTTGATGTGTTAATTTGTTGTTGATTTTCATTAACTTTTTTTGTTTGTTGAGTATTATCACAGGCAAAATCAATTTGTTCAAAATCACCAATTTTACCACATTCTTATTTTTATTTAAAACAGATGAACTGGAATTTTAAAATGTCCAAATTGAAATCTAATTATGCACCTATTGTATATGCATTTATACACAATACGTTTGTTATGATTTTGTAATCCTACAACTAGTAAAAAACTATTAAACTGACTTACCTATAATACAAATAGGTTTCCTGATGAAACGTAGACGACCCCAGAAACCCATATACTTCGATCTGCATCCGGCAGACCAAAGGCGGATTATGTATTCGACACCGAAAAATACTACTAAACATATTTCCTGCAAAAAAAATAAAGTCATATTAGTTAAGTAAGTAGCTATAACACGATGAATGACATTATTATATTGACAAATATATTGAAATGGAATTAAATTATTGCAACTTTTTTCCATTTAAGCAGAAATCTCAATGTAGCTTATTAAAGTGATGATATCCCTAATCCGACTCTGTGCCTGTGTACGCACGCGGCCTTCACATGGCAACCAATTCGTGATCGAAGCAACGCTGACGTGTGGAAACAACCGGACCGCGTCTCGAATGTCTGCCGGTGATTCACTCGAAACATCTGGAATGGCGGGGAGTGCCGTTTAGTCATCTTCGCGAAGTCTCTAGCATAGCCGACGTATCAGCGCCGAGTTTAGTTTAATGTAGAACATTGTATTGAAAAGTTAAAGTGTAAGAAATAAATTAGAATTGTTAGTCAGTATCTAAATATTACATAAATTAAATAGTACGTCTGAAATAAATTGTAAATAGTGTTTTTAAATAAATAAACTCTTTGATTAAGTATGTGATTGGATTGGATATTGATGTGACCGTCGGTAATACAATGCGACGATATTACAGTACTCAGGGTTGAAACTTCATTACTGAGATGCTAGAAGGCGTTGTAGTAGCTAGATTTTTAAATTTCTTGACAAACAATTTTTTTATCTTTCGTAAAAAATATATATTTTTTAAGTATCCTATGTTAGTTCTAATACCTCCAAAAATATGTGTACAAAATTTAATGTTGATCGGTTGAGTAGTTTTTGCGTGAAAGCGTAACAAACAAACTTATAATACTTATAATATTAGTAGGAATTTATTATATGATGTTAATTCAAATATATTTAAACGGTCATCTAATACTAACAACACTCTACCTATTGGCAATTTGGATGACTTAATTATTGATATCAGTAGGAACACTCCAGATGTTAATTCCATAGACAATACTAGTTATAAAATTTCTAGCAATTGTGTTACAGAACCTACTTATATATCGGAAGCATCAAATGAACCTGATTCATCCCTAATTATCAGCACTAAAAGACAACGAAAGCTGCCTGGTCATTTACAAGATTTTGTAACAAATTTTAACTCTGATAAATAATCAATCAGATGTTCAATCAGATGATTGTGATGCTTCTTCTTATACCTCATGTGCTTCATAAAAAAAAGACGCGTTTAATGGCTGTATAACTAAAGTTTAGTGTTTCTTCTGTTTTATGTTTAGTGTCACTTTGGTAACTTATAACGACAGACAATTGACAGATCACCAGAAGAATAAAGATATTAAAACCAACAGTGGAATGCTTAATTTAATACAACTATAAAATACAACCAAAACACAAACAAGAGAAAACTTCAAAATCCGAAATCCATTAAATATTTTGTCGATTTTCCTTAAACATTTTAAAAGTTTTCCTTCCATTTATCTTTAAAAAAATATATCACATGTGACAATAAATCACATTTTCAGCTAGATATATTTACGAATCCCCGTATACAGCTAACAATCCCTTTCGAGGCTTTAATTTAAAAGATAATTAATTACTCTTCGTTTGTTTTTTCGCGTAATTAGTCGTCCCTTTGACGACCTACAGATGTTCGTTCCAAATTTCGTTTCACAACTAAACTGTATGGTACACAAAGTTCTACAAAAGTTCGAGAGGCATTAAATTTAGATGATATCAGACTTCTGTGATGAATATATCACCGTCAAAGCTGATTTATTGTTTGGTATTTGATAGAAGGATTTATGTACAAGGATTTGAGCTGAAAAGATAATAATGTAAGCTTTATTAGTTCTTTTTATTAAAGCTTCTGTTGATATCATTCAATACAGGGTATTTCACATATTTACAGTCATTAATTTAGGCAACAAAACTATGAAAAATAGAGATAAGTAGGTACATGTAAAAAAAAGACATCGAGAGATTTGCCTGTAATCTGTTAGTTTTTTATTCACATAATGATACCTCTATCTGTACCAGCCATCAGTGCGTTCAGATACGTCTAGTGGTATTTCCAAATACATTCTTTTTTAATTAGTGCAATTTTAAATAACAACAATGATCAGTAGGTACTCTAAAATATGGCAGTGCTAATAATAAACAAAATAGTACACTATTTATCAAAGCTATAAATAACCTAAACCTCGTAGTAATTATTGATGGATGTTCAACACGTATAATCCGTTCTAATATACAACCATCATCAGCGGTAAATCCCACCATAACTTCATTTGTTTTGGGCTCTAAATGTGAATAGAAAACTTCTATAGATATCATGGGTTCCTCTCTCTTTCTTAATATCAAAATATCAGATAATTTCAATCTAAAAAAAATACGAGTACATGCCACTTATATATTATCTATTCCTCAGGACCACCTATGAAATATTCCAAAAGATAAACCTTTCTCAACTTCAAGGTATCTTCCCATTTGTTGGGAAATACATTCATAAATTTTTGACTTGGAAAAAATGTACAAGCTAAAATTAAATGAACCTCTGTGCAAAAAGTTCAATACGGGAACAATTTGTAAATAAATTAAATAAAAATATTTCAAAATCTACAATTTGGTAATTTACTAAACATATAACCAACAAAAATACCATCTATTTTTACATAGGACTTATTAGAAGACTTATTTCATTGAATTGCTCCCCATTCTTAGACCCTAATCTTGTTTCATAAGTTAGAAATACCAGGATTGTCTGTAGCAGGATTAGAATCAGTTTTAAAAACAAACTGCAACGCTGCTTCCGGTAAAGATAGCTTTACTTATTTTATGATCAATAGCTTACCAGCAAACTCAAATCCTAATAATTATGCTAAAATTCAAAAGGTATCCTAATAATTCCTTGTCGTATAGATCAATTTCTATTCTATGCTGTTATGCTAATCCCCAAACCAGGAAAACATCCAAACGAAGTTCCTTCATATAGGACAGAAACTATTTAAAAAAAAAAACTAATGCAAAGACTGAAACCCATCATTAAAGAAAGCAAACTAATTCCAGATTATCAGTTCGGCTTTAGTGAAAACCATTCAACTATAGATCAGGTTCATAGAATCTTAAATGCAAGTCTTCCTCGATGTTGCGAAGGCTTTTGATACAGTGCCATGGTTTAAAACATAAACTAAATGTGCTATTTTCATAGCCATATGCAGAGATACTATATTCGTACGTTTTTTAGATAGATTTTTTAGAGGAAAACATAATGAAGCAAACTCGGAAGTAAAAAAAATAAATCAGGACTATCACAGGGAAGCGTATTGTAACTCACTTTGGATCTATTATACACTTGTGACATCCCCCAACTAGAACAAGACACAACAGCTACATTTGCAAATGATAGGTACTGCCATCCTAGCGATAGACAAAGATCATGAAGAGGCTGCAAACGAACTAAAAATATTAGTTATTCAAATAAATAAATTGGACCAAAAGATTAAACTGAACGAAACCAAATCTGTAAATGTTAATTTTACTAACAAAAATGATCAACGCATATCAATTACCGTAATTAATGCTCAGGTCCATTATGCTAACTCAGCAAAATATCTAGGTATTACATGCAAGACTTCGCTGGAAGGTTCATATTAAAAAGAAAAGACAAGAGTTAGATATAAAATTAATGAAAATGTACTGGTTACTTGGTAAGCATTCCAGCCTATCTACATATAACAAATCATAGCATTGTGCGATTTGGTGTTACACGTTAGTTTAGTGAAATTAAGTTATCAGACCCTAAGGTATACTAGCGAGTAGAATTTAACGCCTTTTGGCTTTGAACACAATTCATTACTGTCCAGTTATCAGTTTGGTTTTTGCAACGCTAAGGCACTTTAGATGCTTGAATTTAGTATTCGATATTTAAAATTCTTTCTCTATTTTTCTACATTTGAAAGGAGCAAATGAAACTGTTTATTTGAACATCTTTTAGATTACATCCAAAAGCATCAGCCAATATTATAGAATTACACAAAAATAAATTTTTCGAATATACCTAAGACTTTTCTATAATGCTCTATCCTTGCTCTAAAATCTATTTAATAAAGCCTGCATGTGCCAGGAGTTTTGTGTAAAACTTTCAGCACGGCAACAATTCCACGCGATACTCCAAAACTAGTTAAAATCCCTCAGGTTTGTATTTACACATGAAGCTTTCGATGATACGGTTTAGTCTGGCAGTGGGATAGTTTATACGAGTTACTAATTTTAAATTTTTAATCTGTCGCACGCCAGGAGCGTACAATCCAAGCGCAATGGTCGGAGTAGCGTTTTGAAGCAGCACTCCAAAACTTTGAGGTTGGATTCTACAATGTAATATGGGCTCTATTTATATCGATAGGCACATTAAATCGTGTGGTTTAAATACCGCGGTCAACCACACTGCTTACTGATGCTGATACATAATATTATGTACACACCGCTAAGTTTATCTTAATGGGAGTGGTGTTCATTCCCTTTCGCTGGCAACATTTTTTTCATTACCTTTTTCTTTAATATCTATATAATGTTATGTTGGGTATTATTGCATTGCAACCAAATCGGTAATCTATCGTCTCTCTCTTCTAAAGGAATTGTACTAGTTGGAGTCTCTTCAAGCTAGGTAGATTGCCTCTTCTATTTGGTAAACTCTTAAGTATAGTTTCCTTATATTTTGGAGTGCTACACATTCAGTCAGAACATGTATGAAGGTTTCGCCACCCTTCTTACAGACTCTGCATTCATTATCTTCCACTACTCTCAGTTTACTAAGTGTCCTTTGAGTCAGCAATGCCCGGTCAGGCAGATATAGGCTTCAGATCTTTTCCGGTTATGTTCACCAAGAAGTATCTTAGCCTGTTTTAGCCCTAGGAGATTGCTCAAATTATGATTTCTTCTACTACCCGATTCTAACGGGGATTCTCAATAGCAGCAAAAGAAATAACCAGAATGAATATCACTGGAAGGAACATGCTCAGCTATACAGATAGCAGACAAGCACTACTCACCTTAAACAG